AGACTGCACGCAATGTGAATTAGGCTTCCTCTAACAAATCGTTAAAGGAAAACATTTAAGTGTTGGCTTCACATCCTTAACAAAACTTAATGATGCTACCTTAGTATTTATTGATGTTTGTAGTAGAGAAGCAGGTGTCATTTGCAAATAAATACTGTTGTATGTTTGTATAAGAGCCACAGGGTTTCTTGGAATTTCAAACATATTCGTACATATGTGCATACGAATATGTTATGTATGCATGAATGCATGTGCTCATGTAGGTTTTGTATTTACCACATAATTGCCTAATGTTTTGTGATATTTTATGGCATAATGGTCGCTTAATAATGATACTCTTATTACAAGATACGGTATTTATGTTCTTGTTCGCACATATATTAGTAGCTACTTACGCATGCACTTCCATTTCCCTCCCTCTTATGATTTGAGTGTATAGATATTCTACGGAACTATAGGGTGTCACAAAAATTACGAAATTTTTAAACAAATCGACAGTTGATAGTTTAATAATAAATAATTGGCGTGACCGCTGAAGCGATTTTTCGGTCGAGCTCCTCCTTCAATATGTAGTTTTGCGGCTTAAGATATTTCCTAAATCACCACCGAACGGCTCATGGTTTTTTTTATGGGGAGGTTTTTATTTCAAGTCCGAAATACGCAAGAAGGGGCCGACATTCTCTGCCGGGGCGACCGTAATTACAAAATTAAACTTATTTTATTTAAATTTATTTAAATTAATTTTCCATGACTTTTGCATGTTGGTGGCACCGGGATATGAACCCGAGCTTTCCGAATGTCAGTACACAATGCTAACCACTCGGCTACCGCGGTCGCTAATAGTTTAAGCTTCGGAAATGTTGAATAGTATTGCAAAAAAAAAAAAAATTGAAAAAAAAATTCAACAAAATAAAATAAAATAAATGAAAGCTTGGTAGCCGCTCATTTAATACATAATATGTTCGGAAAAGTGTTTTCACTTCGTCAACTGTGAAGAGATTAATGGAAAAATTCCAGGGGACAAGGTCCGCCAAACACACGGGTCGTCCAAAAACAAGTCGCTCAAAGAATAATATCGAAGCAGGGCACGAGAGTATAGGCGGCAAATTTCTAGAAGCTCTCTTTAAAGTATACTCTGTGAAGACCTGTATTTTCAAGCTTACAAAGTCAATCAATCGATAACAATCAGCGCAACAACTAAAGCCTAACGACCATGTACAGCGAAGAGAGTTTATTGATAATAGTTAATTGGATCCTAAGCTTTCAAGCAAAATCCTCCAAAGTGATGAAGCACATTTTCACCTTGATGGGTTAGTCCATAGCCAATATTGTCGATTTGAGGGTTGCGAGTACTCACGTGTGATTGTCGAAAAGCAATTGCTTCCATGCATGCGACTCTTTGGTGTACATTTTGGACTGAAGGCATAATTTGAAGACACTTTTTTAAAAATGAGTCTGTTCAAGCAGTGACTATTATTGGTGTTCGATATCGCGGCATGATAGTCCAGTTCTTTTTGCCGAAATTGTAAAATATTGATGTGGCCAATATGTGGTTACAACAAGACAATGCAACATGTCATACAGCCCGCGAAACACTGATGAATTACTGCAAAATACATTTTTCATGTCGTCTAATTTCCCGTTTTAGTGATCAGAATGGGCCTCCTAGATCAGGTGATTTAAAAGTATTAGGTTTCCTTTTATTGGGTTATATAAAATCACAGGTATATTTCAACAAGCTTAAAGCCAATGAGGTTGCATCAGCCGTATAGCCACATTTATAGTCATGGAAAATTTCGACAAACGAGTGCGTATATGTATGTGTTATTCCTATATATATATATATAAATAACTCTATCATATGTACTTGAATTTAGTCATAATAAAAAATTATAATCGAAGGCTAAAAACTTTGTTTTCTACTTAATTCCAATCTTGTGCAGATTTTGGGACACCACCCCTTATGAGAAGCTCTGCCAATTGATTAGAAAACTGCAATCGATAGCTAATTTTGATTTCTGGCAGCTTAAACAATATAATTCAGGTATGACATCTTTGTATCAAACTGAAGAATAGCTGTAGACTGGTTAATTAGAAGTGACAAGAACTTCTTTAGTATATAAAGAATCTTCCGAGCAAAGTAGACAGACTACAATTTTTTCTAACAGGTGTACAACTTTGCTTCCGCCGTTTTCCGATAGGTGGCTGTACCGGCTGAGGCTGGTTGAAATACATAGATGATAATGCCTTTAAAGTGAGTGTGGACAGTGCCTAACGAGTTCTCATCGCCGTTTCAGTGACAGTTGTTATTCTTTTCGAATTATTCACGCTCGAAAATGTCCGTTTATGTGCCTAATTTTCGCCATTTGCAGGAAGTTTTACTTTTCTGTTACAATTCGAAAAAAACTGCAGCTGAAGCGCATTGAATGCTCTCAGAAACTTACGGTGATGCTGCTCTGAGTGAAAGAACGTGTCGGGAGTGGTTTCAACGTTTTAAAAATGGTGATTTCGATGTCGAAGACAAACATGGTGGTGGAAGAGAAAAAACCTACAAAGATTTACTACTAGCTCTTAAAACCGGGTGAAACCATCACAGGAGATCACTACCGAACGCAACTGATGCGCCTTAGTCACGCGTTAAAAGAAGAGCGGCCACAATATCAAGAGCGACATGACAAAGTCATCCTCCAACACGACAATGCTCGGCCTCACGTCGCAAAAGTGGTCAAAAAGTACCTGAAAACGCTGAAATGGGAAGTCTTGCCCCCCCCGCCGTATTCCCCAGATGTTATTCCGTTCGATGGCACACGGCCTGGCAGATCAACATTTTCAATCCTTCAAAGAATTGGAAAAATGGATTTCTACATGGATAGCGTCAAAAGAAGACTCCTAATTTTGGAAAAAAAACGGCGGAAGCAAAGTTGTACACTTGATACGTAAAATTTTGCAGGTCCTTTTCCCCTCTCTTTCACAGCAGCGTCGTAGATAATACTAAAGGTAAGCAAATGTAAGTTAGAGGTAACTTTAAAATCGTTTAAGGAGTCCTTTAAACTTAATTTAAACTTCGTATCAATCAAGACTTCTACAGAAATTAGGGGTTTTCTTGCAACCTTACAAGCAGGAATCTTGAAAAATTCTATTCTTTATTCATATTTATATGGACTAAATTTTTGGGCCTACTTTATGTCTCACGTAGATAAATGCAATTGGTATTTTAGTCAGTAGGACAGCATCAGTCGCCCGTCACGTATTTTAAGGGGTAAAGCAACTCTGGGTTTTCGGAAAATACATTTCTTTTTGCTCACAGTGTACTTTTTGGTACTAGAAATGATAGTGAAAAAATTACTGCAAATAGCTGAACCTTTTATTTTGCTGCTGCCCCTCAGAGTGTGCGATGTGTACAATGAAAACTTTAAATGCGTTTTTCTCAATATCAGATTTTTTTTTAACCTGAAAGCACAGATTTTTTGGATCACTTCACTTTGTAACCACTAAAGCGTTTTTCGGCCGAGCGTTTTCATGTTTTTTCCAACAAATGGGGCAGTTGATTTTGAGCCCGCCTCTGAAGGACTGATGATTTTTTTTATGGGGAACCTTTTGTTGCATGTTAGAAATACACTCGGCTGGGCTTGACATTAACTGCAGAGGGGCCACTGCGACTAGAATGAATAGTTTTCTATAATTTTGGTCTTCAGAATGTCTTTACTCAATTCTAACCTAACGTAGTCAGCCTAATGGCTATTTCCTATTTCGCTGAAACTTTTCCATAGTGTCGACTCATTGAGTGTTGTCAATGACCACACTTCTGTGTCATTAAAAAAGTTCGAATATTCGTTACAAAAACAACAATTTCAACAACAACTACGGAAATTATGAGCGAACTTTTGGATTTTTTCATATAGAGACAGCTTCAGAGCCTATTTGTTTTAGTGACTGCGTTGGATTTCTTGACAGACATTCTAGTTGGTGTCGATACTGATTACCAGAAATATGAAATTATCTACAAGCTCATGGTTATGACACTGATGTGCAAGCCAAGAGGTGAATGCCATGACTCTTTGTTGAATGACAACGATTGCGTCGCCTTTTCCTCGCTCACTATTATACCCATTCGTCAGGCTTTCCTATTCGAGTAGTAGAAGAAACGTCAGCTGTGAAAAGTGTACCTTCTTTGCATAGCTCTGTATTCTTTTTATTCTAGGATTAAGCTGAAAGTTAGTACTTCGACTAACACCTACTTTATTCAGATACTTATTTTTCTCATTTTGGATTGGGTTGCGGGCTCGCATCGTCGTTCAGAATATTGAAAGTGATAGCTTCAACAGGTGGCTTATTTCACGGTAATTGGTGCCGACTGTGGGGTTCTCTTTTTATTAATTTTTACTGAACACATAGCACTCTTATTCCACCATCTTCATTTAAGGATTCGGTTTGTGCATGCACAGCAATTCAGCAGACCAGAAGAGTTTTCCCTCTATTAAATCTCTGGGATCCTCATGAGTATATGATAAGTTGAAAAACTGCGCTTTGTGGTGATTTGTGACGGGATGCTTACCAAAACTCGGCGTTGGAGTCTTTCTTCCACCACAATTCCAACGCCAAATTTACGTATATTGCCAGATGGGTCGCCTTCTTCTGTCCTTGTCCCATCCATTCTACAGTTCCAACAATCAGCTGTGCAGTTACACCTTTCTAACTAGGGAGCCGGATATGCGGGGTTCATGTGCGCCTTAAAAAGTTTGCTTGGGACTTTATTAAATTTCCGAATTTTTTTGTTTCATTCAAACATGTTTTTTATGTTGTTGGTCCAAACATAGGTACAGACTGTGACATGTGTAAACACCTCAGTATGACCTAATTCCCATTTCATATTCATTTTAATTTATAGCCTTTAAATTTTTTTTCTCTACTTGCTACTACTGAGTTATTTACAAATTCATTTCAAAACCTTTGTCTCCATCTCGCACTTAGGTGCATACATAGCAACATACGCCACTTACCTTAATGATCTGATTTCCGGATAGAGATACGCATTCGGATTGCCGCCACTTGTTGTGCCATACCAAGCGAAATGTTGCTCCTGCACCAAAGAGTCGTTGAACGCACCGTACAGCATAAAGTGTCCATTCTGCGATAGCCAAATTGCATTATTTGTATGCAGGATTTCCTCTATAAAAGCAGATAAGATGTAGTCCATAGCAAAAGTTAATTGGAACGGGCGTGGGGGTTGATGATGCAGAAGTGGCGTATTTGAAAATCCAATTACGAATCATAAGCGAAATACAAACACACATTTCATATAAATTTATGCATGTTTATACGAGTATGTGAATTGAATGCCAAGTAGTAACGTAACCAGGATAGTTGAAGAGCCAAGTCAGTTGTTAGCCATTTGTTGAGTGGTTCACAGGTGGGCAGCAGAATAAAAGAGATTAAAAAAAGTCAGAAAGGAAATTCAATTTCGATTTAAATCAATTTAATCAAATGCGCAATCAATGCGAATGGATAGACCAACGGACGAAGGGATGAACGAACGAACGAACGAACGAATGAATTGAAATGAATGCAAGAGAAAAATTAGCTCAAGTTAGAACTGAAATGAACCAAACTGAACTGAACTGAGCTGGTCATTGCGACCTCACCATCACCAATCAGTTACTCACCTTCATAGAGCCAATCTGGTATGCCATTATAGACGATGCCCGGCACAGCGTCGCGTGTTATACGGTACACATTATTGGTGGAGCGTGGCCCTTGGCAGTAGTAGATGTCATAGTTGTAGACCAACACGAGCGCGTTACTGGCGGTTGAGGAGGTTGTAGCATTGTCGCCTCGAGCTGTGCTTACGAAGCGAGCATAGTGCAGATATGGCCACTCATCGCTATGTGAATCGATTTTCAATTTGATGCTTTCACTGCCAAAGAGGAAATAAAGAAGAAGTAGATAAAAAAAAATGTAAAAATGAGACTTCGTTGAGATGAGTTGAGTGGAGGAAACTGTAACGTTTGTTTGGCAGGCAACAGGCAGTAAATACATATATACAAATATATGTATATGAATAATGCATTAAGGTGTTTGCTGTTTAGTGATTATTTTCAGTTCAGCAATAAATTTGCTATAAGTTTCAGAGTTGTGCACAAGTTTTTGCAGAAAATCTCCTTTCAAAGAAATTCAATCTTGTACCTAATTTTACTAGTTCCAATTTTAAAATCACATTTTTTCCAATTTAATACTAATAATTTCACTCTCTCAAATTAAAAGAACATTTTTTTTAGTTCACGCACACCCTAATGATGGATAATATCTAAAAGAAAAGTACGGAAATAGAGCAAGCACAGGAAATGACAGCAACCAGCGCAGAGTGGAAGTCTTTTTTGCAGTTAGTTTATAAGTAGATATGTATAGAAATTGAATAAACTCTTAGAGATAAGCCAACGGCAGCGTACACACAATTCATGGTCACTTTTATGGCATACAAAAAAAAAGCAGGGTTTGAAAGGATATGCTTTGCTGTAGGAGGGGGTTAAATATAAGTTCTATAGATAAAATGTTATTTTTAGATGATAGTTATTAAATTTACCATATTACCGTAAGATACCGTAAGAATTGATGAGTAAGCCACCGAAGTTTTTTTGTGTTAGTAAATTATGCCATCTATATAAAGTCTTGAAACCTGTGAGAGTATTGAACTAAGTCCTAGGTATATGCAAAATGTATGGGGCACACATTCGCAAGAGCACAGCCTAACTCAACACTTTTGTAGAATTTAAAGCCATAAATAATAAACATTATTGCCTTTAGAAGTTACAACTAAGCTTCATGGCAAAAAATACAAAACATTTATTTTTTTTACTCACCTCGTTTGTATATCAAAGAGCGTATATTGTGCCAAAAATGAATGCCGGAAAAGCTTAACTACATTCTGGGCCAATAAGATGTAACGCTTATCAGCTGACAACGAAAATGTATAGGGCGCAAAAGTTTTCTGAAAATAGAAGAAAGTTTACAATATAATTCAGCTATCAACGCAAAAAATAAAATAAATAAATTATAAGAAAAAAAGAATAAAAAAATTAAACGAAAAATAAAATAAAAAAAAATGAAAGGAAAATAAAATAAAATAAAATAAAATAAAATAAAATAAAATAAAATAAAATAAAATAAAATAAAATAAAATAAAATAAAATAAAATAAAATGAAATAAAATAAATTAAATAAAAATAAAATAAAATAAATATTTAAAATAATATAACACAAGTAAAATAAAATAAAATAAAATAAAATAAAATAAAGTAAAGTAAAGTAAAATAAAATGAATTGAAATAAAATAAAATAAATTCACGTAGATTTTTTCAAATTTAAATTGAAATATGCTATTTGACACAAGGTAAAAATAAGCCTAAATTGTTGAAAAGTATTTAAAACATAATTGTTGAATTTAATTCATTCATCATAAATACAAGTACAAAATTGGACGTAATTATAAATTTGTGTATGCTTTTGGCAAATGTAGCTGAAAACGTAAAGTAGTTTATTTGGCTGCAGGCACAATGACCAAACAAATAGCAAAAACCACTATGAACCACTAGTTTTTTGTTTATTTATTTTTTTTAAATACTCTTATTATTATTTACGTGCTTGTTTTCATTTTATTAACTTTTAATTGATTTATGTATATTTTATATAATATATATTTCCCTTGCTCTTTACTTTGTATTTGTGAATTTTTGAGTGCTTCTCTGTGGTTTGCTGGTAATTTATTGGCTCTCTGGGGTGTTTGTAGAATTAATTGAAATGCATTAGCAAATAGTTTTGCATACAATTATATTTACTATAGTTTCTGTCGGCAAGCATTAGTTAATTATTCATGTGTTTATATTATTATAGTGCTATGAATATATTGAGCGAGGTATTATAATAAATAAAAGCGTTTACATTCATTTATTTGGATTTTATTTTATTTTATTTTATTTTATTTTATTTTATTTATTTATTTTTTTTTTGAATGTAATATTGCAGTATTACAATTGTCCTCGTTTCGTTAAACACTGACGGTTTAAAATGTGTTCAAAGCATTTAAGAGATCTCACAGTTTTAGCTGAGACAGGCTCCCGATTCGTAACTGAGCCCCGGCTCTAAATACAATCTCAATAAGAGTTGCGTCAACCCTCTCGTGATTTACCATATGTGTAGACAACTGTGAGCTCGTCTTGTGAACGTTTTTATAACGTGATGAGATAGCGGTTAGAAGAAGGAGCAAGTGATTTATACACCAACAAACAAGTAATCAAAAAAAAAAAGTCACAATGATATAATGGAATCGAAATGTTGAAGCTCACACAGAATCTCCGAAAATTAGAAATTCATAAGAGAAAAGAGGTTTGCAGGGGAGTGTCCCGGAGTAGTCATGGGAAAATTTGGTCGCAGAGCACCTCTTCTGAATTAAGCGCTTTCAAAAAAATTACCAACTTAGTAATGCCGGCAAAATAGTATACGATGAAGCTCTGCTGGAACTATCGCCTTTTACAACCAAAGAATTTTAATTACCAACAAGCAAGTTGAAGTCAAACTAATCAGCTAAATCCACTTAACACCAAGGCAGTATGGATTTAGACCCGACAAACTGGTGCTAATTACCACTGAAAAGCTCATGAAATACACTATTGAAGTCATATAGAAAGACTTCAATATTCCCATGTAACTTAACAGGTGAGGAGCTATCTAAAAGACAAAGTTGCCATATGATGAATCATAGATGGTCCGTGAAGGCTAAAAATCACGTCAGATGCAGCACAGGATTCGATTCTCAACTTTATCAGTGATAACGGCAACTAAACCTCAAGATACCTTATAACACATTTCGGCAATAATCGCTGCCCATGATACTGGAGATACACGACCATAAATGGGCTTGACTCACAGAGTCAAAGTATTTTACGAAACAATGTAACGTACGGTGCCTCCAAACGAGGAGTAAACATGAAATGCAATGGATGGATGGCCAGGTTAGTTAACTCCAGTCAAATAAAAGCTTGTGCAAGGTGAAAAATATGCCAACCAGATGTTATCTTGCGTGTAATGGGGTATCGTCGAGCTTCTGGGTATGTAGTTACAGTCACAATTCCTAGTTTTGCGTCCACGTCGCGTACCCCTTGAGCGAAAAGCCACGCTAAAAGAGAAACAACTTCAATGGAACGGAGTGGAACACTCCGAATTATTCGGTGTAAGGTTCCGCGAATGCGACCCGTAACGTAGAAACCAGCTTCAATGGAATCCGATTATCACAAAAATCGTCCCGAATATGTATTTTTTGCGCTCGAGAGCAAACTTTACCAGTTGCACTGGAGAACTTAGCAGACTGTTTCAGAGCAAAGCAAGCTAGAAAATGATTACGCAGAGTACATTCGACATAGACAACAGCCTAGCCTCCGAGCATGTTCTGAGCTGTGAATCTCAAGATGAGAAATATGGAACGTCAACTTGAAGTATTTAGAAAGCTTTTTCGATATGGGCGACGCAAAGATGATGCAGTAGGCCTTTTCAACATTCTCCACTGCAGAAAAAAAAAACAAAAAAATTTTAATTTTATAATTTTTTTTTTCAATTTTGCAATCCAATTGATTTCATAAAATCGCGATAAAATGCAGTTCTTTAAAACCTTCTAGACTAATTGAAGTACAATTCATCCATTGGATCCGACCAACATACATTATAAAAAAACTAACTTCTCTGATTCTGGTCGCCCATCGGCTGATAGTGCACAGCCCTTCGAGTGTACATATTTCTGACATCAAAGTCAAAGCTACTCAAAAATAGTATATAGTAACTATACTATAGTATACTCGTACTACAATACACTGTACTAAATTATCATAAATAAATCTACTTTTTTTTAAAATTTTTTTTGGCCTCTACAACAGCTATATATACTTACATATGTCACATTGGACATGAGCACTCGCTCGTTGAGACTTGATGCATTCAATAACACAATTCGTCCCCAATGATCCTGATAAAGGAACTCCTCTCCTACGATGAAGTTGTCGATTGCAAAAAATTGTGATTTTTTTTAGCGAAAACTGAGTGAAAAAGTTTACATCCAACTTACCATTAATCCATGTACCATTGGATCGTTGCGGCAGAAAAAGTCCATCCACTATATCTTGTAATTTGATGCGTTGCCCCTTGACGCGCGGCCCCTCATCGGGTGGTGTGAGGAGTACCTTTTTTGATAAATGCAGAAATTTTATATGTTGTTTTCTATAAAAAGAAAACCCAGACAAAGAGAAAGAAAAAAAAGCACAAAATACCGGGGAGGACACACGACCACCACGAGACACAAAATAAATGAATGAAAAAAAAAAAAAAAAAAAAAATTGGAAGAATATATGACATAAAATTTGTACATAAAAAATTTAGCGGGATGACACGACAATATGCGGATAAAAATTCTATTAACTACACATATAATACAATATATACATACATAAATACAAATATAGTACGATTATAAGAATTTAAGAAGAAACATATATACATATGTACATATAAATGTGATATATATATTTACAATTTGACAGAAGTGCGTTTGGACAGTGAGAAAAACTAGTAATTGTAGATGACAGAAAAAAATAGGTAATTGTAGTACAGCAGCCTGAAAGTATGCTACGAAGTTTTAATACATTTAAAGTACGCTTTGCTAACTGCAATGAAATAAATTATTAAATATTAAAATAAAATAACTAAACAAATAAAATCATTCAATAAATCGTTGAGTTCTATTACTTAAATTATTACTTTCATTTATTTGATTCAATTAATTCTACTAAAAAATCAAAAATAAAATATTGAAACATGAACACAACTAACAATGCAGGCTTAACACCTCTTATTCAGAAAAAAAAATTTGTACCACACTGAATAACATAAAATTTGCTAAAATATTTAATGATTCGCTAGCAAAAAAGACCCATTATTACGAAAAAAATATATAAAGATAAAATTTTAACACAAAGCCTGATATACAGAGGCTTCCATTAAGAGGTGTTATTTTGATATGCAATGGAAATTGGCATTTTTTGAGATAATTGATCGGATCTTATCTTAATGTGCGGAGGAAGATAAGCCACTAATAATGGAAGACAATATCAGTTATATGGCCGCCATGCCAACGCTATACCTTTTACGAAGTTTTCCATCACCAATTCTCAAAGTGGCTGCTGTATGCCCTCAATAGCTTCACGAACTCCATCTTTGAGGTATTGAATCAACGTTGGACTGTTGGGTAGACCTTAATTTTCACGTGGCCTCACAGGAAGATGGGGGTGTTAAGTCACTCGATCTCGGTGGCCAGTTGCACTGACCTCTTCGGGTGATAACATAGTACGGAGACCTTTCCCTTAGCAGATCGATGGTTTCGTCACTCGTATGGCGCGTAACACCGTCTTGTTGAAGGCAAACGTTGTCTAAATTAATAGTATCCAGTTCCGGCCATAAAAAATAATTAGCCATCTCTCTAAAGGACAATCCATTCATTTTCAAAAAGGGAAGTTTCAATGACTCCGCCGGAGAAATCGCAGCCAACAGTTACACGCTGAGGACGGAGAGGCGACAGTTTTGCCCATTGACGTAGCCATCGAGTTGGAAATGTGCCGCATGAGTCACATTTTTTATGAAATTCTGGATCATTTTCACGCATTTCAAGAGCTCAATCAGCAAAGACAGGTCGTTGTTGGTAATCAACCGGCTTCAGTTCTTGTGTCTTAACCAAAATATGGTGTAATGACGTTTGTGGAATGGCCAAATCCAAAGAAAGAATGGACAAATCTGTGATTTCTTCAACAATTTGGGCTACAACAGCCGTACTTTCACTAACTTGTCTCAGCGGCTTAATTTTTTCCCTTAATCTTATCTGTGTTGCGGTCCGACAAGGTGATCTATGACGACCGTAAAATGTTTTAGTTTAACGAACCATATCAATGCGTTTTGGAAGCATAGAACATTCCAGTATTATTACTGACCTAATTCTTACTTGTCAAATGTAAAAAATTTGCCGCTTCCAGTGACACCTACCGGGATAGCGGAATAATCAAATTAAAACCTCTTATTGGAAAACCCTGTATAACAAATTTTCTATTTACACAATCGTACATTTATAATAAATTAATATTACCATGCTTTCATCTCTACATTTAACACATTTACAGTTATTTATTGATATTTTCTGTGCTTTCGTTGCGTTCACACTCACCACTGAGGTAACAATTAAAGCGAGCACAATTATTATAACCAACAGAGCGATGAAAATGCCACGCCAATTGCGCTGATTTGGATTGCTGGAAACCAACTGTAACGAAAAAGGGAGAAAAGAAAAAAACCGTTGAATGCTTCAATAAAAAATAATATATATTGAAGTAAAATATTGAGTATCTTATTTATGACCAACATTTTTAAAATCACACTTACATTATAATTTTTTAAAAATGGTCTGCAATTAGTTTTCATAATTAACCATCCTGACGTCCTGATTCGAGCTTAATCAGTGTGAATTTTTTAAATTTAATTCCTTCATTTTTACTCATTTACAGTTTTGTTAGCATACTTTTAGGTTGTCACATTAAAGCATATTTATATACTTCTCACATAAATTATTTTGAAATTATTTCAAGTACAAGCGTGAGTTTTTTTTATCGAATAATTTCACCTCGTTGTCATTTAACTCTTAAATTAGTCATTCATAATCAGAGTATATTCTTTAGGCCTCACTGTATTATTTTGTATAGTGTCTTTACTTTCGATCTTTTAAAACTGAAGGAAAAACAAAAAACTGTTTAAATGCTTTAACGCGCGAGGTGAACAGTTATAAACCACCGGCTGGTGTTCCCCTTTTGAGGCGATGAAAAGATTGCTGATGCCGAGGGAAGAGCGCAACCGTGCTTAAGAACTATGAAGACTTTTAAGTTATAGTAAGCAGTGAGTACTAGGCAAACCATTGATATCTTGCTTAGAACAAATGACCCCACCAAGGTGAAAGGGTCAACCTTTCCAAATGCTCAAAATACTTGTTACATTTTATGATGTTCAGGAGATTAATGTTGCCTAAAAGCAAGCTCTGCTAAGCATTCGGAGAAGAAATTTGCGGGAAAACGATAGGACCGCTTCTATACTCCTGTAGCTGCAGCAGAAGTCGCTTGTTAAGTAGCACCTCTTGGTAAGCAGCACGTAATCTACCATGACTGTCCATAAGTCAGTATCCGATTATTACGATGGTTGTTATGCTTAGGATGTTAGGCTTAGAACGAGTAGAGACTTAGTTCTGTTTAGCTCGATTAATGACCACATTTGTATTGTTGCGTTTTCTCTCTCAGTTCTCTGCCATCTGTTGTTGGCCCTTCTTCAGATGGCTAGTATTAGCAGACACTTTGCCTATGGACTTAAGATTGAAACTAATAAAAAGTGATCGCACAAGGAAAACCCATACTGGTAATTACCCTTTATGCCGGGTCTCTACCTTCGACTACGACCGTTTTCCGAGTTAAAAGCATTGCGCCATTTCGCTGGTTAGCGCCAATTAGAAATATCAAGTACAGCTAGGTCCTTCTCTATCTGGTGTTCATATTCCTCTATTTCTACCGGTGAGTAGTGCATCCAAAAATTTTGAAACTTGAGTATTCTTATACACCCGGATCACATGACCGCTGTTTCTACATTCGCTCAAATATGTCCGGCTACAATGATCGACTTGTGCAGTTTGAAATTTGTTCGTCGCTGGAGGACTTTACTATTTAATTACCTACTCAGTCCAATGGAGCGAGCAGCAGGAGTTAATCCTGGTACAAAAATATACGAAATCTACAGATTCAAAGTTAAGACTGTCAGCAGTGATATGGGAGCCGAGTCGCGTATGTGACGAAAGTTTGTTTGATGAAAGGAGATTTTTCGCTTTGCCCTCATTCACTACCAGACTCATATCTTTCGCTTCCTTATACAGTCTGGAAAACTCACGGCGCGGTTGTTAGGTATGTAGCTCGTACTTCTCCAGCAATTAATGTAAGAAGTACCAGTTAGGTTTGCCAGCTTGGTACACCACGGATCGACGAGGTCTTTCTTTGTCCTGACTAAGCTTTTGGTGTTGTTTAATGCCAGTTTACATAGCGGTATGCGGCTTATAAAATCCATCGAGTGTAAAAATAAGTTGTTAGTGAATTTCATTGTAGAATTTTATAGCAGAAGCGGGCATTAAATATCTAATTTTTAGCTACTAAGTTTTCTGGTGGATTATTTATTCTTACAGAGTGTCAGAGTACTAAGAGTACAGAGTACGTTTTAAGCGTAACTGAATAGGCCATACGAGTACTTTAGGAATGAGCTAACTTTAGGAATTTTGGCTGAGGGCAACAAATGCAGGAAATACTGCAAATGAGCCAAAAGTTGTGGAACAGCTAATCAGTTAATGCAAAGGCAGACAAGAAGTCAGCTCAATTGCCCAAGAAAAACCGCAGGATCTTCACTCAGCAATAGATGAGACCTAGTAAACCCAAACAGTACAACCTAACGAGTGGTCCTTCACATTTATTCGTTGAAATCATACGCCTATGAACTGCTCATAATAGGTAATCTTAAATTAAAAAAAAAAAATCATTTAGCCACTTTAACCCACAAAATTCAGTGGACGCTACATTTGGACGAAAATCCCTTAAATGAAAGTTATGAGAATAAAATTTCGAAATAACGATCCGACATTTGTACTAAAAATACAATGCAATTCAAGCTTTCCTTCCAAAATTGCCAAATTGATTAGGAGGCGTTACTGTGGGCTGACAGCTTCCATATATTACGCAATCTAAGCCACCCACGAACGTAAGGGCATGGCAAAAACAACACTGTAACAAATTTAAGTAAAAGCATATTAAACTTTCACTCAGCTAAACATTTATTTTTAGTTGCTTACATTTTTGGTTTCGGCATTGAAAAACCTTTTTCTTTTATTTATTTTTATTCACCTTATTTTTGTGGCGTATAATATTATTTTGAAACTTTCTCTGGCAAGTGCAACAAGAGGTTGGTTGGTTTGGGTGTCGGCTTGGGGCGCATGGCGAAAGTGTAATTTGTCATGCGTGCACGAGATTACTTTTTCTACACAGTGAAGTTGTTTGTATATGTGCGAACAAATATTTTGGCACTTGACTACCTTTTTTCCAAAGCTTCCTCATTTTCTCTGTATTCATGCCGTTTCTTTTCATTCAATTGCCTGTGCAACACGGGCCGCCTTTTCAGCGACTTTTTGTATGTTGTAGTGTGTATGTTAGTTTCCATTATTTATTTGTATAATTTTGGCAACATTTGTGGGCATTATTTTGGGAAGCATAATGGCCAAAAATAAAAGAAATAATAACAACACATTCGCAATAAAATTTTTATTTTATGCAACCATCAGAAAGTGAGAGAAGTGAGAGAAGATCAAATAGAGAGCTGATTATTTATTTGTTTGTCAAAAATTTTTAATATATTTTAATATTAAAAAATATTTAATTTATATTTTTTATCATATATTTCTTAGCCATTTAAATAAAAATCACACCAATCACTTCGACACCAATTGAAAATAATTCACAATTCAATTAGGCTGGTGTCTGCAAAGCCAGTCAAAGTGTCAAAGCGATTAAATCACCTAAAAGTTAAGTTAAATGACTTTTTTATAGAAAATTGTTTAAGGTTATTAGTTCGCTGAAGGTTCACATATCGTTGCGGCGCAAAAGCATTCTAACGGTATTTCTACGTGTAATCAATTTGAGTCTCCATAAATATTTACAATATTTTTTTTCAACATTTTGCCCGCAGCTTCATATTAAATTTCCAGTATAATGCACAATTGGCGCATTAAATATTAATAAAGAAAGAGGCGCGTTTTTAAGTTTTAATGTACTTAATTGAATTTAAATATATTATGAGTCCAAAAATGTTTGCCGACTAAGTTAGTAACAAAGGAATAGGAAAAGGAAAGCCTGCCAAGACTTTACAACATTTAAATTCAATATTTTTTTGGCCGTAATAAGACGGGAAAAAAATATTTGACAAGAGAAAAATTTTTTTTTTTTCTTTAGTTATCACAAGAGCAGACTTTATATAAAACTTTAAACATCTATTCCCTATTCGTTCCTATTCGTCGTCGAGATCACAAAAATAAAAAAAATAGGAACCAAAAACTAAAATTTTTGGCCTTTTTTATTATTTATTATTAATTAATTAAATTTTTTTAAATTATTCAATTATACTTTATTTTATTTCGTTTAACTTTATTTTATTTGATTTTATTACATTTAATGTGATGTGATTAAATATAATTTATTTTATTATTTTATTTTAAACTATTTCTCTCTTTTTCTAAAATTGTTTGATTTATTTGGTATTAATTTTTTTTAACTAACTGAATTTTAATTTAGATTATTTTATATTATTTTATTTTATATTATCATATTTTATTTAAATTTACAGTACTTTATTTCTATTTAATCTTTTGATTTTTTTATTCTTATCTTTTAAATTATCTTTATCTTTTAAATTAATTTTTTTTATTTTCACCCATTTATTATATATTTTTACAATTTAATAGATTTTTTTTATTTTATATTTTTTTCTTTTATTTGGTTTTACTTTATTTTGCTTGTTTTGTATTATTCCATTTTTGGTTTTTTCATTATCAAAAAATTAATTCATTTTATTTTCATCCATTGCTATTTATTTGATTTAATTTTTCTCATTCTAATTCATTTTTAATTCATATTATTGTTTTTTATTTAATTTTTTGTTTTACTGCATTTTATAATATATTTTTATCTGTTTTGCTTAATTTTATTTAATGCTGTTTGATTTCATTTGCTTACATTATTTTAATTAAATTTATCATAATCATTTTTATTTTATTTATTTTATGTTTTATTTCTTTATTTTATATAATTTTATGTTTTGTTTTTTTATTTAATTTAATTTTATGTTTTTCATTTAAATTTAATTTCTTTTCTATTTTATTTTATTTTATTTAATTTTATTTTATTTTATTTTATTTTAATGAATTTTATTTCACGCTATATCATTATGTTTTATTTGTGTTTTGTTCTATTTTGTATAACTTTATTTTTTTAAATAATATTTAGCTTAATTTTTGTTATATTATTTAATTTAATTTAATTTTGTCAAATTATATTATTTGATATTATTTAATTTTGATTCTTATTTATTATTTGTGGATTTAATTTTGTTTTAATTTATTCTGTTTTATATAATTTAGTTTTTGTATAATTATTATTATTTTATTTCATTTTGCTTTACGTTTATTATTTCCTAATT